AAATACTTTCTGGTTGCAGCCACAGTGAGAATAATGATTTCTTCTACCTGCAACTACTTTTATGCAGCTCCATTACACCTGCATGTGTTCTTAGCTGATTCCTCTATCATATTAGAGGCATTTGGGGACAGAAAATGCCTTAAAATATATTTTGTCTTGTTCTCATAGTGCCCTATGTGAGGGTTGTGATATGAGTTTATAGAGAGCTTTATGCTGAATTGAAGTTACAGGTGCTTAATCAAAACTTCTTTGATTGGGGACTATATCTCCAGACTCATAAAAAATACTTGTGATAGAAAGAATTATGAGGCAAATTTATAAAGCCAGGAGATACACAGAAGATTCTTAAGATGCAAATAGGTAGTGAATTATTTATATCATATTCTTGTCATGGAATTGTTCATTTAAAATATGTTTACTAAGATGATTGGTCAAATATAAGTATTTAGCTGAGGTAAAGATTAGGATTAGGCTATTCAAAAATCACCTCAAGTACTAGAAGAGGTAAAAGAAAATAAAGTAGCCTATTGTACTTGAATGAAATTGGAAAATCCTCACGGACCAGGTAGGATCTTTAATGAGTGATGACTATTTAATATGTTGAACGGCGAAAGGCATTCTAGGTATATGGGACTCTTTCGGAGAGGATTTGAGGAGAAACTAGGACAAATAAGTGAAAATAGCTGTGTGAAGATATGAGAGAGTTAGGAGGGTCTGAATGTTAGATAATAATCAATAATAAGACATAATAACACCATTATAAAACAGCGGAGGAGTGACAGAATTAAAATATGTCAGAAGGAGAAGTGACCAAATACCCTCATTTACATATGAGAGACTGAGTTTGTCAAGATAGAGATTTTTAGGAAAATCCCTAGAAGTGCCTTGAATTATCTATCTCTAGTCTAGTGACAGAGATTTTTTTTATGGGAACAGCCCTCAATAATGATTAAGCATCCTCATATTCATCTCATTAATGATTTTGTAAACTTAGTCATAAAATAATTTATTGGCTTAGTTATACTGCAAAAAATACTATATTAAAATAGAAGTACATATTTATTTGCAATGTAATTTACATTTATTTAGTAATTCAATTAGACATTTCTATATTTTTAAGGGAAATCATAATTTTTACTTTGAAAATATCTACTTTTGTATCTTCATAGATATCACATATGGTGATTTAAATAATATACTATTCCGCTTGGAAATAGTCAATTAGCTCTATAATTTTCTTTATGTACATGAATTTCCTAAGTAAGGCATTATGTCAGTGAAGATGTTTATTGAAAAGCATTCACTCAAAGTGGAAAAATGTAGCAATTAACTTCATAAAAAATAATTATTCTTAAGCAAGGTGGACTATGACTCTTGTGCCCCTTCCTTTCTGATACTTCATATCTGTGTGAAGAAAATTACTAACCTCCAATTATCCCTTCTATTAACACAGCTACTCCTTACAATAAAACTGTGAGTTATGAATCGTCGTTGCCCCCATTTTTTTGGATGAAGAAACTGAGGCAGAATGCAGCTGGGCTTATGACTAACCAGTGCCAGAACCGGAACGTAGGTAAATTGAGGGCAAAAGCCTCTGCCTTTTCACTTTGTTTTAGCAACAATAACAAGAGAAAACTTTTATTCACAATCTCGAATATGGCAAAAGGAAGTTACAACTGCCTTTTGTAATTAGCCTATAATTTCTAATCCAGAAGGAACACTATAGATCATTCCTACAACTTTCCGGATGCAGTAGAAAGAATGAGCCTATAGACCAGCCAGAAGAAACTGTCATTGTCTAGTGTCCCAGTCCCTGAGGGACAAAGGCCAACTCTGGTTCTGCAAATTTTTCAGGTAACTGGAGATTCCTTTTTTCAAATGGAATTTTGAAAGCAGTGAGTAACATTAAATATTGATTGGTTGTTTTATTAGAAAGTAAGCAAAATGCAAACTTGCCTAGGTATTCTAAACTGTCCTCATTTCAATTAAAATAATTAAAGTGCGATCAAGATCAAAGAAAGAAGCCATCTTCAAGTTCAGCAGATCCTAAAGCTTTGACAGAAAGATAAAGCGTTTCAGAATTTTACTTCCAAATCCTGAAACACTATGACGTTCCGTAGAAAGAGCAAGCGCTCAGGTGGGTTCTCCAGGTTTGCCGTCAGCTGGCTGTGTGACCTTTGGAAACTCAGTGAGCAGTAAAAAAACACTGTAGCAAAGTTGTTGCTCTACACATTTGACAAAAATCCGTAGTGACAGAGCCCAGAGATGGCAATTTTTGACATAATCCCCAAAGACCGCTTCATTTGGTTAATTTAATTTGACCTTCAACACAGATAAAAATGGTTACTACTTGTCAGAATAATATCAGAAATTTAAAAAAGGGGAGGGGTGAAGTCCATATCATGAATATCTACCCAGCTAAAGGTAAGGGCATTAGTTAGAGCAGTGGCCCCCAACCTTTTTGGCATTGGGGACCGGTTTCATGGAAGACCATTCTTCCACAGACTCGGGGCAATGGGGAGGGGTAGTGGATGGGGATGGTTTTGGGATGATTCAAGTGCATCACATTCAAGCTCACCTCCTGCTGTGTGGCCTCATCCCTAACAGGCCCAGACCGGTACCAGTCTATAGTCCAGAGGTTGGGGACCCCTGAGTTAGGCAACAGACAGAACCTAGGTAAAAACTGTTTTTATACATGTCTGGAAGGTGAGAAATAGATGTTTAAATCGGAAGCAGGAAGCCACGAGGGGCCAGGAGAATGACAGGCGGAGGAAGGTTATGGCAGCCATGTTCGTAAAGGACTAAGCTGCATTTTTTTCTTTTGAAAATTTCAGAGAACTTCAAGGGAAACATGACATGGTTTCTGGAGCGTAGCTCCCTATGTGTTTAAGTGTCAGGAGTACAGAGAAGGGTTCTCTGACCTTAACACAAACTAATCTAATGTGTGAGAATTTTTTTCAACAGTAGAATTGGATTTTCAACCTTGATTTTAAAGAAGGTTTACAGTGCAAATACTCTTTGAAAATGAGCCTTCATGACACAGAGTCACACTGAGGTTTGACTCCTTTAGGAGAGCTGATTAATGGGGGTTCACAGTCAGCAGGGCACCTTAGGCACTGGGGGCTTATGTCCCACTGTTGTTACTGCATGAAGCAGCATTATCGTACCTAATGTATAGCTGGTAAGATGGAGGCTTATTAAGGCTGAATTGACTATTGTCAAATGACTGGTAAATGTAGCGCTGAGACCCCACTCATATCTGACATTGTGTCCATATTCTTAAGCACACCACAAGTTTTGAGGTACAGAAGGCTGGAGCTTTACTCCTTCATGACATTTCCACCTTCCATCTCCACTCCACACCCCAAATGCATGTCTTCACTCTCTTGAAGCGAGGAGCATCGTGATGTGAAACGTGATCGCAAATGCTCACACATGAAGGCCAACCAAAGGGAAGACAAAGCTGGGGCAGGAGCCAGGAAAGAGAGGGCACAATCATTAAGACAAACAACTCCAACCAGACCAACCAGACCACTGGGAAGTCACCTTGGATTAGGATGCAGCATTTTTATTGTAAAAGTCCACATATTAGGCAATTCCCCTTGTGAAAAGGCTTTCAAATACATACACAGGGAACAGCTGAAAATTGAGAAGTAGATCATATATAATAGATATTCATATTGTCCATACTGTGCACGCACTGGAGAGCTAGCGATTATGAGTATCCCCATTATGGAATATATTTCAAGTTGACAATGACGGCATGTTTCTCAGCATTGAAAGTTTGCCAACGCCTCTCCCCAAGGGTCAACATTTAATAGGTTAACAATTCAAAACAAGAAAATAACTGATTCTATTTACATGTGTTTGAGGTTGTATACTAGAGCACTGATATGTTAAAAGTTTGTTAAGTTGGCAGCTAAATTCGTTTCAAGATTCATCCAGGTGACTTGATGATGACTTCACATAGGTTTATACTAACAAAGTCACCGTCTCTTCTTTCCTGCTCCTTCCAGGTTATCTATAGTTTTGCTAGCTGTGATTGAGTTGTGACTTAGAGCGATGATTGGCATAAAGAGGAACTGACACAGGGTGCTAATTTGGAAAAATAAGGGTTCAGGATGAGTACATAAAGATGGAATTCCACTCGTGATGGTTTGAAGTCTGAGACAACCGCTTCATGTGATGACGACCTGGCTGAATGAGGCCACCAGCATAGATTCAGCCTCCCTGTAAGTCATTCATTAGTTATTTCATTTTCGAAATTCAATCTTCAGTAGTTCTTTAAAAGAAATTCACAGAGTATAGATTACTATCTTTTGAACACAAGTCAGTATGAATCTGGCTTATGTCTATAATGGGTCCTCAAGCACATGGGTCAAGGCTGACTCACCCCTGAACTTGGAGAATGATACACAACTTTATTCCCTAGTAGACTCATTTTTTGTATACAAATACAGGACATAAATATTGTTCTAAAGAAATATGGACCTTGACTAAAATAAATTATTGAGAATGAGTATAAATAGCCAAAGTTCTTTGGATCTTCTCAGTTATCTCTACAAGATCCAATATTCTTGGACAGTGCTGATGTGACAAGATGAGTCACTGGTTCCAGGCCAGCACAGAGCCATTCACCGGAAGCATATGGGGCCAGCTCACTTCACATTATATTTGTTGAGCACCACCTGTGTGCCAGGCACTGTGCAAGGTGCCAAGGACCCGAACAGGAAATGACAAGGCTACTGCCCACAAGGCACTCACAATCACGAGAAGCAGATGTTGAGGTGGAGACTAAGTTCTGTCAATATCTATAGTCCTAAAAGGAAGAAAAAAAAGAGCGGCAAGCACATACAATCACTTTATACTCTATGAAACTGGGCTTAGTTAGAGGCAGCAGATTTTACTTAGAGTGTTTTAATACATCATATAAGGAAAAAATAAGCTGTTTCAACCTTCATGCACAAGGGATAAAAATAGTGAAAAATTTCCCCTCCACTTCCAGTCCCAAATCCTTATAATTACATTCATGATTCTTTTGTAGCCCAAAGACACAAAAAATAAAAGACAATACTTTACAATGATAAGTTTAATCCATTTATTTTGGCTCTAAAGAGATGCATGCATTGAACTTGAAGCATTCTATGTTACTGAAATATTTACATCAGTGTACATGTCATGTGGAGGAAATTTTTTTTCTATCTTGGGATAGAGGTAAATTGATTTCTTGTCTAGGTTCTTATATTTCAAAGGAGTTGTCATTTGTCTCAAATGAGGGAGATGTTCTTTGAGGATCAGATTTATCACAAGTTGACCCCAAATGAACTTAGAATGCAGTTTGGGATGTTTTGTTTGTAATTGTATTTTGAATTGAATAAGGACACCACCACTGTAAATAATCATTGCTTTTACTATTTCAGTTCTGTAGCTGGAAATATGTTGTTTGGTTTCAATGTTCTTGCTCTAATTTCACTTTGCCCTGCAGGTTTGCAACACAGAACATTATAGTTTAAATTACACTTACCAAAAAAGAGTTGGGTGCAAACAGTATGACAGGAATACAGCTTACCGGGTTGGAACGTGGAAACAAACTCAGATGATTGTAAACCACACAAAGGATTACTTAAATGGACTTAGAAAGGACATCTTCTCCCAGGAGATTTAGTGAAGAATAAGACCCATATCAGTAAAACCAATCATTCTTCACAGGTAAAGGTAGGAGACCCAATACACCAGATTGAACAAGCAGAACGCAGTTGGGAAGAAGATCCTTGCATATGAGTCCATCTTGGCAATACGGATGTGTATCCTCCCATGCCTCCAAGCTCCCGTTCGGCAGTCTTCGAAACAGCAGAAAAAGCTGGCACAGTCCTTGCCGTCCAGACACTCATACCCATATTCTTCATCTCTCTCTTGAAGGTGCGTGGCATTGTTCATTTGAATGGTTGCTGATCTTGGGCGAATATCAATAGTAGGGGCCTGAGACAAGGGCAGGGACAAAGAGGGATCAGAGTTCATTATGCTTGGTGAGTCCTAGACTGTGTCTTCACAATGTTACCAATGTGAATGATGAATCTGAAAATGAGTACTCAGGAAATTGCTATGACAGTGTGATCTACAATGGTGAGATTGAACTTAGAAGGATAGCACATTTGCAGATTTCAGATTTTGAGCTTAAGCAGTGCGGCTGAAAACAATACCATCAAGCTAACAGCTAGAGCAAGAAGATTAAACACCAAAAGAACTAAAAGTTTAAAGATTTCAATCAAACAACTACATGGAATCTTATTCTAGTAAATATTAGATGTGAGGTTGGTTACATGAAGGCATTTAATGGTTTTGCATGTGAGTAGAACAGAGAAATAAAAATGCATCAAGTTTGAAATCAAAGTATGTGTCATGCTTACCTATAGGCAAGTAGTAAACCCCATTATACTGAGCAAATGTCTTAAATGCTTAGTATAAAATGTTAAAAAATATATAAATATAGAAGTTTCTTGAGTTTATACCGCAATAGTATGGCTTATGTTTTAAATGAATATGGTACTTTGTGTAGCATTCACCATCTAGAAACTTCAAAACATCAGCTGTGTTTACCTGCCTGTGAGTGAAAATTCAGAAAAAAATGCTACTGCTGTCAAACATTACTTAGTGTTGAAGAAGAAACTAGTACCAATTAATTGAGTGCTAATCACAGTTTTTTTTTGATATCTCATTGTGATTTTAATTTGCATCTCTCTGATGGTTAGTGACTGAGCATCTTTCATATGAGTTTCTCTTCAGGACAAATTATAAAATTGCTTTAAGACTCAGTGGTCTTTTTCATGTTAATTTGGATGAGTTAGCTTTAGGATAATACGAATACAAATCCCAGTGTCTCTGATAGATCTGTCAGAATTCAAGTGGGAGTAGAAATCTTGTCATATTGCATGACAGAGCCCAAGGCTCCTGGCTCACCCTGGAAGGTGGGAAGGGTGTTTCCACTGGAAAACTTTAAAGACTGTATTGCTTTTACAGAGCTGATAGGTAGAGCTGAGACCAATAAAGATTATTAAATGTATTTATCCAAAAGCAATCTTGTTTTGCATTAGGATTTACAGAGTTAAATTTTAAGTGCATATAGGTTATACGTGGTTGATGCACATATATGGGAGATACAGGCAGTGAATTTGGATTTAGTTTCCTCCTGAGAAGAGAGGGTAAGATTTGGCTTCCATGTTTAAAGAGGCCCTCTTGACTAACACCGTCTCATAGTGCTTGCATCATTTAGCTTTGTGGAAGGTCAAAACCTCTGTGAATTAGTGCAGGGTAGCTGAATCAACTCTAGAAATCTATAGAATTTTCTCATCTTAAATGTGTCATCTTTAGTAGAATGCTTAAATGTCCACGCATAAAAAAAAAATAAAACACCATGTAAGCGTTAATACTTAAATTCAGCAGTAGCATGCAGTGAATTTCCATTCCAAAAGCATTATACCTTGAAGGAAAACATCCGAAGAAGCTTTGGGTTTGTAGACAGAAAAGAGAATTGCATTTTTTTTTATTAAAAGAAGGAAAAAAAGAAAAAGGAGACAAAATAAGATAAATTAAAAATGCATTTTAAAAACATAGTAAGTAAAATGAACTGAAATTATAAACACAGAATGACAGTTCTGAACATGGAACAAAGTATAGGCCTAAAGTTAAAAGAGGGAATTCAGTGATTGCTAAAATCTTCTGTAAATGAATCCACAGTTACTTAACCTCAAAAGCCAGTGTTGCTTATTTGGGAGGAATCTTTCTATTATCATTAAAAAGGTCTTAATAGGTGAATCCTGATAATGAACCAAAGGACATATTAAATGGGAAAATGAGAATTTAGTCTCTCATTCATCCCCTAGGCTTTTACATCTTCTGATAAATCCCATAATTTTAACTTAAAAGGGGGACATGTGTGAAATTCACAGATAACTTCGGTTTCCCAGTTTCTTTAATTGCCTTTCTCTTCTGCCTTCTTTTCTTCTTCTGTCATCTTCATGACCTTGAAATAAGGAATCCAGGGTTTCTATTTCTGTAGCAAAATGCACTCTGCAGTGGCCTAGCTGTTAGAGAGGGAGGGCTAAGGGGCTTTTTCCAAAGCAGGAAAAGAGCAAGGAAGGAAAGAAAGAAAGCAAACTCTTCAGACTTGTTTGTGAGCCAGTGCCCTCACGCCCTTGTCACTGTTGGCAGGTAAGGATGCTGAGTATCAGTAGAACCATCTCCTTGGGGGTAAATGAAATGGAAACTGAAGAAGAGGAAGAAAACAAAAACACCAACACAACAAGGAAACCAAAAGAGAGAGAGAAAATGAGAAGGCAAAGAGAGGCAGAACAGGGAAGGATAGGACTGCATAAAGCATAGTGAAAATTTGGGACATGAAAGAGAAGCATTTATTTTTTTTTAATCCATCGAGAAAAATGGTGCTTCTTTCTTTACCTGTTAGGAATTCGTGTATTCAAATAAACATACAATTTAGAGAATTTCACTGGTGTTCCTGGAGATGCATCAAAATAATACAGAATCAGCTAGATTTCCTCATTGTCATTTAGCCCCGCAAGGTTCATGGGTCAGACAACTAGCCACTATCATTGCCCTCAGGCCCTTAGAGCAGAAGACCAGGAAAGGCTGTACATTCAGTTTATCCCTTTGCCTCTGACTTGGAAGGAAATGGACCTGAAATTTCTCAGAGGCCCATGAGCCAGACATTGTGTTCAGGTGGGTAAATGGGTAGCTATGTGCTCCCTTCAAAATGAATAATCAAAGACAATGAATGGCCTTAAGCATTCAAATTTGTGCTTCATCATCTCTATTAAAAGTTTGGTAACAGGGAGAAGACATCCTCCCTGTTTCCAAATCACTGAAATCATTCCAGTTTGGTTCCTGTGTAAATCATCAACATCAACCATTATCATCAACTAGACATGATAAGAACTTTCAGGTGTAAGGTACTATGTAATGCTTTTTACCTCTATGAACACATTTATTTCTCACAGCAGCTCCATCAGATATGTTTTTTATAATATTCATTTTATACATGAGAAAACAAAGGGAGGCTAAATAACCTGCCCAACAATAGATGAGGCATTTCTTTTAAAACAAAAAATAAAAATAAATTGAATATGAAACCAATAGAAATCCTTTGGTGGCAATACACACACACACACACATACACACATTAAACTATTTGCAAAAGTGTGGTGATCCTTGAAATGTCAAGAATCTTGTGACTTCTTAGTAGAAAGCTTTGGATAAAAATTTTCATTTAGCCCTGGCTGGTGTGGCTCAGTGGATTGAGTGCCAGCCTGCAAACCCAAAGGTTATGGTTTGATTCCTGGTTGGGGCACAATCCTGGATTGTGGGCCAGATCCCCAGTTGGGGGAATGCAAGAGGCAACCACACATTGATGTTTCTCTCTTTGTCTTTCTCCTTCCCCTCTCTCTACAAGTAAATAAATAAATGAAATGTCCTAAAAATTCATTGAACACGTCAATAATTTACAAAGTGTTGTAGCAAAGAGGCAGGAAGATGAAAATCAGTGAAATCTAGAATAATAGCAGCTAGCACACAGATGCATTTCTTAGCAACAGTTACACTCCCCATGAAATGAAGAGAGTAAGAGTCTACCATAGTGAATTAGGTCTTTCTCAGTGAATCCTATGTCCTGGTCAAACTCACACATTCATTTTTCATTTTGGAGCCCCAAGTGTTGAGGCTTAACCCACAGATTGGCTAAGCAAAACCAAACCCAAATCAAGTTAGGTGGTTTCTGCATAAAAATTTCAGTGGTCCCAGTGGGAAATGATACGTACAGGGTTTTTCTTCTTCTTGTCTTTGTCTTTGCTTGGTTTCCGGTTGCTGACAAAATAATGCAGGGTGCCATACTCTACCAAAGCAGAGAAGACAAATATGAAGCAGACAGACACAAAAAGGTCCATTGCTGTGACATAGGAGACCTTGGGGAGCGACTTCCGGGCAATGGTGCTGAGGGTGGTCATTGTCAGGACAGTTGTGATACCTGAAGGGGGGACACAGTAAAACAAATCATGTGACCACATCAGTCACCACTGAGGCTAAACTTGTTTTGTGACACTTGGTAAGCAACCTCAGTAACAGGAAAGGAAGTATAATTGAAATCATCCACTATGCCCACAAGTATTTATTGCCTCTTAAATGTCATTTAATTTCATAGCACGTTTGCTTCTTTAACTCTAAAAATGTGATTCTTTTAAAAATCATCACAATTTCTGCATACTGTAGTTCTGGAGAATAGAAAAGGCATATTAAACATGTCTGACTCGAAGTCAACTTTTGGTCAATGATCAACAAACAGGAGCGCATACCTGTTCCCTCATTCCTCATTCCTCAGCTCACTCACCTTGATCCCTTCTCCCACCATTGTCCTTGCCAATGAGCAGTCATTAATAAGTGATTAAAATGAGCTGGGAGAGTGCCCATAAGAGGGACCGTGACTAGCAGGAATCTGGACTTCAGAAGATGAAACTGATGTGAAATCTTTTTCTTGAGATATGTGTGGGATAGCTAAGTTGAAGTATGTCAATCCATTCATTGCATGTATTCATAAGTATACATACATTACTTGAATAACTGTTGAGCTACCAGCTATGTGCCAGGTAATATACTGGAAATAATAAAAGATATTTACCGGCTCATGTAAGAGACAGAAAGACATAGCATGTCATGCAACACGTTCTACCCAGAGTGAGAATTAATTGTTCTAAAGTAATAAGCTCAACAGATTTTGGGCTTGTTTCAGCTTGTAGCATTAGACATTATAATTGTTGAATAGGACTTGTAACAAAAAGTACCACATATAACAGAAAAAGTAAAAATAACTTTATTTTGAAACAGATGGCAGACTAAATTAGGTTTGGAAGAGGATCAATATGCAAATGATAGCTTTAAAAAATTTTTTTCCCAGTAATTGCTTTTGCCCTCAGTTTTAGTAACTTGGTACAGATCATTTTGTCAGAAAATGACTATAGTTGCTAACATTTCTGAGGTCTTCCTATGGTTTGTGAACTTTGCACAGAATACCTTATTCAATCTAATTAAAATCCCACAAGTTAGGTAGGAAATAATACATGTTTTACATGTGAGGGGACTGTGATTTACAAATTAAAGGGTATTCCAAGGCTGTACTATAACTGTGGGTTGAAATTCAGATTTGTTGGACTTCAAAACCCCAGCTCCTCCCTATTGCAACATACTGCCTCTTTAGAGCAAGGGATGTAGCTCTAATTTTCACGTAGCTGATGGAAGAGATTATGATTTAATAATTCATTTTTAGTAGCTTTATTCTTAGTTAAGTCTTTGGGGGAATTTTATGGAATATGACGAGTTTATTCGTGGACCTCGTCTCCAATGCCCCTGTGAGTTTGTGGCTTCATTATCATCTCAGTGTACCTTCTTCCTCATATGACAAAACAAATGTGAAAATCTGAGACACACATCATCCATTACACAACAGACTGAGCAAACTGTAAGTGATCTTCAAAGTGGGGAGAGGGGGGGGTCTCAAAATTTCATGGGTAATTGTGTTTTCCCCCAAATCTTTTTAATGGCTCTTGGGTAAATAGCCACTTAATATCAATGTATGTCTTTAAATGTCATCATGATTACATATGTCAGAATTAATTAACAGCCAGTGGTATGCTGGTAAAGGTATAACAAATGACTGTAGAAAATACGGAGGCTGTGATTTTTAGTGTTTGACTGTTTCTTTGGTGTTAATACTTTCACCTTGGCTGATGTCAGGCTGCCAGTGTGACATCAGTGGACACACTGTTGGGAAAGGACAAATGACCAGCTCTCACGAGCCGGTGCAGGCAGCTCCAGCATATAAAACTGCTCAGAGACCAAACATTTTAAAAAATCTATTGAAATTAGAAGGATTTTTTCTATTGGACTTAACCTGATTAATAATTTACTAAAAATAAATTCTATTAAGGTGATTAGGAAAGCAGAATTAGGAAATTTTAAATATTGTTTTCCGTTTTAATATGGTAGTTTTTCTTAAAAATGAAAAAGTAGCAGATCTGTGTAATTGCTGACTGAATTAAAAGGAAATCAATTCAGAAAAAGGAATAAAGGTGCGTCTCACCTAAAGAGGTCCTGGCTGGAACGGCATCCTTATTGATCCAGAAAGACACCCAGGATAGAACGACAATGAGCGTGCAGGGGATGTAGGTCTGGATGGTGAAGTATCCCATTCTCCTGCTCAGCTCGAAGTAGACACACATGACCACGTAGTCTCCTGGAACAGAAAAAAGGTGGCCCCATGTGTCCCCTTCTCAGACACTGGAAAGCATTCAGAAAGAAGCACCTGGCCAACCCTCATACATTTCAACTGAGACTTCATACAGGGGAATGCAAACACAGAAAGCAGGAAGCAGAATCCAAAGGAAGTGTGATCCTTTTAGAAGCAAAGTGACTACTAGACAGAAGAAAACATTTCTGAACGTATTGTTCATATGTTCTTCTTTCAGATGAGCTTTGATGGTGCCTTTGATGCTTGCTTAGTGCATGCAATGTACATTTGTTGTTTTCTGGGGAGAAAAGGAACAGTGTATTTATACTGGGCCTCTCTTGCCTAAAATGAATCCTAAGATTTGTAACAATTTCCTCTCGTTCTCAGGACGTATGTCTTTCCAAACCAGAGAGAAATACGCTGGTGTTGATCACTAGTAAATAACTAGTTTACTCACTTCATAATGAAATTCCTGTGCTGAGACATGTTTCCTCAAGGTTTCGTCGAATCGCATGGTTTTCCTTCATAGCAGTTACTTCAGTTCATAATTTCTCACTTATATGTGTGGCTATGTTTGTGTTGTCTGTCTCCTCCATTTACACTGTATCTGCATGGGTCCACAAACTGCCTATTTTAGATCATCATTGCACTACTAGTAATAAGCACCCTACTTGATTCTAAATAGGCATTTCATAGCATTCGTTGAATAAATGATCAAATGAATGAATGCACTTATAAATTTATATATAAAGAAAAAACTAGAAATCAGGAGGCTGTATTTGGGGAAATTTGGGTTAAAAAGGAGGTTATATAATGAAGGAATCAAGACATAACCATGAGAATAATTTAATGTGACCAAATTTGAGGCCTCTGAATTTTTACTGTCAGGATTCACACGCTGCTTCTGAAATTCCATGTCCTTCATTTTGTGTGCTTCCAAGTGGAATTTTAGGGAATTTCAAGTTTTGAACTTAGAAAATGTACCAGGGAGACTTAGCCCAGTTACTATGTATTTACATTTTCTTTCTACTCTTAGAGAACATCATTTTCAAAGATTATACCTGTTCTTAAGATGGAAGACGAACAAATAAGAGAATACAGTTTTCCAATATTACTTCTTTTTCTTTATTAAATTATAATGTACCCTAAACTGCATGGAGAATGATATCCAAACCATGCATTTCATTTTAATTACTTGGCTTCCAGCCCGTGTTTCTGTCCTTACTTGGCTGATTTAGATCTGATTTGAAAACAAGGTGCTTTAGAAGCCTCGTACAGAGAAGATTGACTTAGCAAGATGAGCTATTACTGTTATAGGAAAAGGAAGCGACCAGACACCGAGGGATTCTGGAGTACGAGGTTTATTGTTTAACATGCACGGGCCCAGAGGAGTCATTTCCAAATTCTGAGCCCCGAACAAAGGATTCTTGGGGAATATATAGATTAGGGCGTCTTTCTGTCTACGTGACAAACGTGGGATACAGAAACAGAATGTGATAATTGTTCTATCAGCGGGGGTGCCAGTTCCAGTCCTCACTATCCGGCCACCCGCCCTCCCAGACGGCCCCATCATTCTCTCTAGGGCGCCTGGGGCCTGGGCAAATAAAGGTTAAACAGAGGTTTTTCACAGTTTCCCATATCATTACCACTCAGTCCAGTTCTTCCTTCCCCTCTCAATCTTTACTCCACACCCTTCCCAGCTGCTGCGACAGACTCCTCGTCATGAAGTGCAGAGTCTCTCCTGCAATGTTTCCCACGTGGAGTTCTGAGCAGCTCCTCACACTGCCCTTTGGTGGATTAATGTTCTATTACTTCTCCGAGTGAGGCCTGGTGAGGGCGGTGGCAACAACATGGGCACGGGGGCATCTGGCTCCCACTGGAACATCTATTCCTTCTCAGAGATCAATAAGCAGCAATTATGTAGTGATTATCTCTCGAAACTTGAAGGTATGAGTTTCTTATTATATTAACTAGATTTTGATTAGTTCCCTGAGGTTATAGTCCTCTGCGTTGATGTATCTGGACTGAAACTGTTTCATGTCCATACGTCTTATAAATTAGTTTGGTCCTTGCTTTTTATTTAATTTAGACTATAGCATACACAGGCTATGATTGAGGATTAAAGTAATTTAATTTGAGATGATCCCTACTAATGGCTGTCTCTTTCCTTGTTCTCCTGTTTTTCTGATCTGAATACCAGAGGCAAGCTAAAAAAGAAAAAAAAAAAAGGAAGAGGCTTTCCTTTAAAATAATAATATTCAGGAGGTACTTTTTCTCCTTATTTTCCAAGACCTTGAGAGTTTTCTGCATATTTTAAATGTGTTCAATGACACTTGAGAAATAATATTTTAATAAATCTGGACAACTTTAGTAACTTTTTATTCCTTATCATATAAATGAATGAGAATCTGCACTTTGGCATTAATGGTCTGACTCCTCTTACAGGTGAATTTTAATTTTGCCTCAAGTTAACAAAGTAATGATCTCAGTTCAATTCTCCTATTCCCTTTAGGTCAGATTCTAAACTTCCATAGCCTTCCAATCTATCGATATCTATTTTGAGATAATAGCTTCTGAGCATCTTTCATCTTTAGCAGCAAATCCAAAGCTTTTCTACCACTGTAACACCGACTCAAACTTGGGGACAGGCCATTGAAAAGCAAAGCATCTACTCAGTGACGGCCGGATGCCTGTCTTATCTCTAAGGCCACATCGTTTTTGTATTTTAAAAAACTCTTGGGCTGACGTGCCTAGAAACCTAATCCCCCAGAGGTGCCGCATCAGTGGTTCACCAAATGTGAAGGGTTCAATGTCAACTCAGTCAAAGGTGCTGGTTTCAGACACTTCAAATTTATTTTTCAATTGACTTATCTGCACATAAATATTTAAAGCCGCAGCATTTTATACATTAGTTTGTTCCCTGCTTCCTACCTGCCCCCACACCCAACTTAGATGCAACAAGCACAGGCTGTGATAGAGGAAAGAAGACAGAATTTTAATAACCGCCATTAATGTTTATTCTTTGTATTTAGTCTGATTCTCATGCCTCGTTTCAGGAAGAGACTATCAACATCAGTGAACAATGAACTCTGATTATTATTTCTTTAGTGTGATGTAAACCACATGAAAGCTTTAAAATTTGGGTTTATTAGAGCATTTAGTCTCCGTTTCATACACGAACTATTTTCTCTTAAAAACTTAAAGATTCCATGACAGAGAAGTCTGCCTTTCCACTGAACATCTGAAATCATAAAAATAATTATATTCTAGCCACCAGTAAAGTAGCCCTACTGTGTGCAGATTTCTGGACTAAGTGATTTGCATATATTATCGCTAAACTTCCTAATCATTTTGTCAGGATGGTAAAAAATAAAAGCCCATTTCACTCTGTTCCTTTATCATGGTTCTTCCTCCGCTTCAGTACAGTGGATAGAGAATGTATTATTCTACCAGGTTAACTCTGAAGGCATAATTCCTGTTATACTCTTCTTTACCTTCCTTTCTCGAGTCTCATCTTTAAGTCAACACATATTTTTAATCTTTTTATGCACAGATCACTATATTAGGCAATGTGGAGAGTCTTACAACTAATGCTAAATTAAATGGATTAAATGAGAACAAAATAGTATCCTCTCTGACTACACTCAGACAGACAAGGAGACATGTGGAGACGAGGCGTTATATCTACTGTCAGAACTCCTTACTAAACTCTTGAATCAGAAACATAAATCCTTGAGGTTCATTTTGACCACAGGCAGGCAGGATAGTTGATTGGTTGTACTTTTATTGAGGTAAATTGTTCTCTGAAATTAGATCGATACTTCACCTAATGCACAAAAATAAAATGGACCAAACACCCAAATTTAATTGTGAATATAAATACCAGACATGGAGAAAATATAAGGCAATATCCATGTAATCTTTGTGAAAGAGTCTGTCAGGTATACAAAATATAAGAGGCAAAAAGGAAAAAAAATGATAGGTTTACCATGTAAAGCTTAGAACTTATGTATCATAAATAATTTAAATAATTTGCTTTAAATAAAGTATTTCCAAAATAAATAAGAAATCAAAGTCTAATATCACTGATACATAAAGAATTCTCATTAATTATTGAGCACAGAAACCCACACTTTCAAGTAGGCTAAACTCTCTGGACAATTCATGGGTGCTAATTATATGAAAAGCGTCTGAACTTCAGTAGTGATCACTAATGGAAGATGTTAGTTTTTCATGTGTAGCCTGTCAGACTGGGGAAAAAATAAACTGTAATTTGCAGCACTGACCAGATGTGGAACAAGAGCAGAACTACACACTCTTCGTAGGGGTATGCACTGATGTAAACCTTTGAGACAGTAATCTGGAAATATATTTTAAAAAATTTACTCCTAGATATCTGCAATAAACACTGAGGAGAAAAACATTTTCTAAAATACTGCCTCTCCATTGACACCAAGCGTTTTTTAAGGTTTGCTGTGTGCCCAGAAAAAGGAAAAGAACGCCAAGTCCTTGGGCAGAATCCAGGTCCCCGAGCTTAAGGAGTCTAGAGCATTGTGGGGGAGAAGAGACTTTCATATTTAATCAGTTTCTAACTTCTATGCATGCCACCCCCAGTGTTTCATCCCTGCCCAGCATGCCTCGTGGTGGCTTAGGCTCTTCTAAACCATTTGGGAATCACAGTCAACATCCTTCCAACAGCTAGTCTCTGTGAGGTCAAGAGAGGGAGGAACATACCTGAACTGTACTCTTTGCTCCCAGAAACCTCAGGCTAAGAAAGACATATAAATGCAGCATCACTACTCAATGCACAGAGGCCCCAGTAAAACATGTGCAGACTATTATCTTATATGCTGTGATGAGATGAAATTTCTGGCAAGCACATTTCTGACAGTTCCCATTAAACAGCAGCCACCTTCATAAGCCTTAAAGAGTTCCACGCTCCTCTACAAGGGAAGTCCAAACTCCTTAGCTCGGCATGCAAAGCTGTCTATAATCTGAATCAACTT